TCCATTAGTATAATCGGGTAACGCAGAGAGACAGTTATCGCTGTTGGATCGCCGGCGTCTGTTCTGATACCAACCAGTTAATCCACCATTAGGCGCCTTCGCTGTGACGGTGCCGTTGTAGCTGGCGGCGCGGGAGAGGAGAGGCTTGACGGCGTGGTCGTCATCAAATCGAGAAGAAGCGAGGAGGCTCGTTGAGGGATCGTCGTAAACCAAAGGCTTGAACATCATTTCCGTGGAGGGTGAGGATTTAGGTGGAAGATGTGAGATTTGGAGAATCTGCGACGGCATTTTCCCCTTGTTAATTCCGATTTCTCCGTTTGGCTAATTTGGGTTACAAAAAAAATCGGAAAATGTTTTTGCGGAGGAATCAAGGGAGAGAAGTGGGAAGTTAAACCGCAATGATCAACATGACTCGAGAATAAAATTTGTTTCTTTTACTCTTTTCGTTATTTTGTTGTCAAAAGTTTCTTGTGGAATCATGAAATTTCAGAAAGTGGCAAAAATTCAAATAATCGTCATTAGCATAAACTGCCATTATTAAAGCCACAAAAAGGAACATATATAAATATAATCTCAAAGTCGAAGTACACATATGAATGTATTATGCTGATGCACAAGTCTTAATACATGTTGCATTCCCCTGGTGTTTTACATCATAAGCTTATTACAAATGCGTTTGATACAAACAATCAGATTACTATATCGAACACTACAACATTATTATGGATCCATAATAATCACTGTAGGAGCCCAAAAAGTCTAGATTTCATCTTTAAGTAAGGATGTTCAGGGCACTTCCAGCCATGGCCTACCTCCGGGTTTTGGTTATTTGTTATATACAGATACAGTGGTTCATTATGGCATGATAATTCATATAAATGTAGTGTCAATCAATGTAGAAGATCTCTGCAATGTGTGTTATCCACAAAGATCCTCCAAACTCCTTTGTGACTTCAATAGAAGATGAAACAGAGACTCCCAAAAAGCTACTGATCTTCTAAACAACTTATGTTTGGATACTTACGTTTGGCTAATTTATGTCCAAGACGCTCATCATAAAGGTTGCAAGGACTTAAGTCAGCATCATACCATATGTGAGGTTAATTATGGATGCAAAACTTGAAAAATGTCTTGCATTTTTATATATTTTTATCATTTTGATTTGGTCACTGATTTTTGTTGTATGACAAAACTCAAGGGATTACATTCCCGAAGAAGACACTTGAGCCAATAAACAATAAAATGGTTTGAGAAACTATTCAATAGTTCTTTGTTTTAACATGGTATCCAAAATATGGCTGCCAAAAAGCTATTGATCTTCTAAACAATTTTGATTTCTAGTTCCATGTCCATCGTACAAGTTGATTTTATGCTAGAACCCATTCAACAAGGCTCCCATTTCCAATTTAAGATGGATCTGTGCTAGTAGTAGCATATTAATGTGATCGTTGTGATTATACACTTATGTTTCTCTGTTATTAGGCAAACTCTTGCGTGAAGATATTACTAATACCTATTGAAATCTATATGTAAGGATAAATGGAAAGAGTTCTGATTTTTTTACTTGAGTATACTTTCCTCGCAAGAAAAGGAAAAGTGTATTACAGAAATCTTTATACATATAAATTACATGTGTTATTCATTATTTTTAAATAAAAATACTTTTTTTCTCTTTTACAATTTCTTAATTGATTATAATTTTTTTGTTATTTCAATTTTCTTTTCTTAGATCCACTATCCATAATATTTTAAATTTATCTAATAAATCCCTATATTTTTTCAAGTAACTGTTATTCTACTTTTCATAATCCCTGTAATTTAATAAGAGAAAGAAAAAAACATTGTCATCATATATTACAGAATCGCCAAAGAAATAAAAAAAGTCATCCAATTATTCTTCTTTATGCAAAAATCAAAATATTTGCTATGATAAATTTCACAATCTTCTTTTTCTCAAACCAAAAGTGATGATTTTAGAACACTCATCGCTTTAAATTCACCAGAAAATCTAACGATGTCATATAAGATAGAGCACGAAGACAACAGTGTATGATATCTAAAGCAACTAACAAGTGTTCAAACTTCAACTAAACGGTAACACTCAAGCTGACTTCAACGAAAAACAATAATATTTACTTAATTTTGTTTTTTAACAGAATATATTCCACATATCGTAGATACAAAAATCAAAGTGAGATGGTGAAGCGAATCTTACCTCCAATTTGATTCTTTGTGTTTTATTCAAATTTTTACTTGAAATATCCAATCATGAGAGTTGAAGATTTGACTGATTGAACTATACATGTTTAGAATGTAAGTAGCTCTCAATTTTCAAAGATAGATCAAGTCCACGTGCAAATTCATATATGTACTATATACCGTATAGTAAATGACTTATATACCGTATAGTAAATGACTTGATTGTGATCTGAATTATGTTATTTCGCATTCAGTTTTTGTATGCCGACCAAAAATCAAAATTTGATATTGTAGTATTGGTATACTATATGTTTCTATCAATAACCCATATTCCTCTTCTTATCTCTTCTCAGTCAACTAACTAAGTTTCTCTCTTGAAGCTGGATTATTACCAACTACATCAAAGCAGCCATTTTCTGGGGACACAAGTAGAAACTCAAAAACGTGATCCAAACTTCCAAGCATTAAATGTCGCTGGAAAAGACGGTGTCATGATGAATAAGTTGAGTTTCAATGGATTTGGCTTCATAACAAAGACAACCTTGTGGCTTTTTCGAGAAAGATGAAAACGAAAACAAATGGAATTTAAAGAAAGTGATCCATGTGTCAATTTGGATCGGATGAAGGACAAAAACAAATAGTTCATTCTTCACAATATTCTTTTTTTTCTCCGAATGTTATGAAGTAATTTTTATAAATTTTTATTTTATTTTTAATATTAACTTTCACTTTAATTACACCAACGTTTTAAATAAACCTGAAACAGTACAATTATGAAGCAAAAATTATTACATGAAAAAACTTTCAAACTCATTGCTAAGAGCTTGATTGCAAGTCTTGGAACATTTGAATATTAGATTCCAAAACAAATTAAAATGTAATATGGTTAAATTACTCAAAGATACATTATGTTACTGTGTTCAAAACATTTCAGGTCAATATAGACATATGGTGAAATAATATTAAAACTATGTCGATCAATTATGAATACCTTAATTTTTAAAATAATTTTTTACCATACGAAGTACGAGGCTAATATAAAAGAGTCCAAGTTTATGTTAATTTTTTCTATCTATTGCTTTATTTATCATTTTGCTATGATAATAAGAAATTAGTTCAAAATCCTCTGAATATCCACTCGATATCAATTTATTATCAACAACAGTGATAATTCGATATTTAATTTACAAATAATTACATAAAATTTTAAAACTCTGTTAAATCCTCAATGATAATAAGAAACTAGTTCAAAATCTTTCGAATTTGATAGTTTTCAAATTTGAATTAAATATTGAGTTATCACTGATGCTGATAGGATTTCGAACTAGTTACTTATTATCACTGGATTTAACAGAGTTTTCGAATTTCATGTGATTGATTTTGAATTAAATATTGAGTTATCACTCATGTTGATAATGAAATTCTTATGACATCTGCGGAGAGATGGTTAAACGCCAGAGAATACGGTGTGTTATTCGAAAACAGAGACTTATTTGAGATGAAAAATGTAATGGCAGTGTAACTTCTTTAATATCTCTAATATATTCTCTTGTCTTTCAACGAATAATTTTCTTTTGGCTGAATAAAAATTGGACAAAAACACAATTTAAATCTGTAAAGGGTGATGCTTAATGATTGATGTGAACAATGTTTAACATAATTATGTTGTTATTCGTGAGACTATTGAAATGCATTTGGAACTTTTACTCTTTCTTATGAAAACTTTACGATGCTTTATGCTTCTACTTCAGTTAGAAGATGAGATTATGGCTGTTGTTGCTCATTTATTTGCTAGAGGTAAAATGGTTAGTTTATCAATTGTTTTTTCTTTTCTTTTTTCAATCTGTATCTTGACGCTCTTTTGCAATGACTATGAGTCTCTAAATTCTTCTATCTTGTGAAAAGCGGTAAGGACTTTTTTTCCAAAATTCTTATTCTCCTTATACTATTTCCATTGGCCCCAATTTGCGTCTACATTCAATATGTTATCCTTGGCCATGACTTATATATCTTCTATGATCTCCCCCTATCTTTGATCTCATTAGAATATTTGGGTTTAACCTCATAGACTTTAACTATATATATGTTATCAATTCAACGGCCACGTCTTATCCTTGTTCCACTACGAACGACCTCGTCTTATCATGAGTCAAATTAATACATTGGTTTCACAAATAATATTTAGCGAATTGTTTTAATCAATCAAAATCTTTAGGAAAGTTTGGTTTCATAAGAACAGGTAATTTATGCTATGTTCTGCTCACTGCTCCGCCCAACTAACAAAAACAATTACCAGATTTACGAGATCCTATAACCGGATTGGGTTAATTGTATCTGAATAAGAAAAATAATTAACCGATAACATTTAAAACGACATCATGGTGATTTCCTGGACGGGATTTGAGATATCTCGACGAGGATTCGGTTCAATGACTGAGGGCGAGAGAAGAATGGGGCGTGATCGGATCCTTTGACCTCGAAAACTTGTTCAGGTGGGTTCGATTTGATCATCGCCTCCTGAAGAGAAATCGGTACGGCGTAATCCTCCATGGTTTTGATATAGAACCGTCGAATAGAGCCGTAGATTGTAGTGTTCGATATAGTAATTAATATAGTGTCAATCAATGTAGAAGATCTCTGCAATGTGTGTTATCCACAAGATCCTCCAATTTCCACATAAGAAATATACATCACTTTGAAAGGGAAAATGGAACAATGAACATTTTAGAGCCTAACTTGCAACCACAAAAAAGGAACAAATATATATATAATCTCAAAGTTGAAGTACACATATGAATGTATTATGCTGATACAAAAGTATTTACAACATGTTGCATTTCCCTGGTTTGGTTGAAGAGGAGATTAGTGGCTGCAAGTGTTTGCTCTTGAATAATATGAGAGTCTTTGTCGTGTCCATGGTGGTCTTGATGAAGTCTCTCTCTTATCTTCTTCTTTGCTTTGATCCCACCTTTCTTGGAGGAAGAAGTGGAGGACGAGCCAGAGCAGGAGAGCGAAGGAAGTAGCGTCCGCTTTCTAAGTGAAGGGATCAGAGATAGGCGACGTATGTATTTCCCGGAGTTACTTGCTCCTCCTTTGCCGCGACCGCCCGAGGATTTCTTGGGACGTTGTTCCTCCTCGTGAGAAATGCATGTGAACGAGTTCCCCATACTCTTGAATCTGCTCTGTATTAGCTTCTCCGCAAAACAAGAAGAGAATCTTTATAGGTGTGTTGTTACATGTTCGTGCTTGCCTTTGATACAAATAAGGTTTTTTTTTTGGTATTTGTGCTAAGAGAAGTATATTAGTAGTGTGATCGTTGTGATAATACGTATGTTTCTCATTTTTTTTTTTTTTTTTTTTTGACAAAGTGTTAGGTGAACATAACAAAATATGGAAATCTAAATGTAAGGAAAATTGGAAAGAAGTTGATTTTCGTATCTGGAGTATATAATATGTACTTTCCACATATAAGAAAAGGAAAAGTGTATTTATTTTAATTAATAAAAAAAAAGGTAAGCCCGGAACGTAACGTATGTATAAAAGATGAAGAGAGTAAAAAAAAAGACAAAACCCTAATCTCTCTGTTGCGGCGTCTGTTGACACCTTGGAAGAATGACGAAGAGAACGATATGCGATATTTCACCGGAACTGGTAGGGAAGAAGATACTCAGAAAGGTTCCGATAACATCTCTGGGAGCAGTGAGATCCACTTGCAAACTATGGAACGCTTTATCCAGAGATTGGATCTTGGGCAGTAAAGCAGCAGCAGCAAGGCAGCAGTTTATAGGGTTCTTGACGATGATCTCCAGGGTTTGTTCAATGAGATTCGATTTCCGCAGCTTGGAACAAGACTTGGTTGATGTATCTATAAAGCCGGTGGACTTATTCAATATAGTGGATATATGTAGAGTCATTCAGTGCGAGGGCTTACTGTTGTGCGTCTCCAAGCACAGCTCAAGGCTCCTTGTGTGGAACCCTTACTCGGGGCAAACAAGGTGGATCGGCCCCAGGACACATTTCCACAGACAAGCCAGTTATGCTCTTGGATACGACAAGACGAGCCGCAACCACAAAATCCTTTGGTTTTTAAATTTTCGCCTCAATACACAGAAGAAGAAAAGAGGGTACGAAATCTACGACTTGAGCTCTGGTTCTGATACGTGGAGGGTTCTTGACGTCACTCCCGAGTGGGACATAAGTTATTATCAACGTGGTGTTTCTTTGAAGGGGAACACCTACTTTTTCGCTTACGAGAAACTACCAGCTGGTCATGTCCATGAACGTTGTCTCATGCATGATCCTGAAGATTTTTTGATCTGTTTCGATTTTACAAGCGAGAGATTTGGACCGCGTCTTCCTCTTCCGTTCCACTCTAATCCCGAGGAGAGTGTGATCCTCTCTTGTGTTGGACAGGAGCAGCTCGCGGCGCTATTTCAAGGGCCGATAGATCGGGACATATTGGAGATTTGGGTGACGACTAAGATTGAGCACAACTCGTTGTCGTGGAGCAGGTTTTTGAAAGTGGATTTGGATCCCATCACTTTGTTTCAGTATCACAATGGGAGCTTCTTCATTGACGAGGAGAAGAAACTCGCCGTGGTTTTCGCTCAAGGCGGACCATTGGAGAGGGATACCACTCCGCAACACCGAGCTTTTATCGTTGGAGACGACGGATTCTTTAAAACTGTGAGTCTTGAACAAGTTTCGAATGACGGAGAAAACTACTACGACATTGGTCGCCCCCCAGTGGTGTGCTCTTCTTCTTATCTTCCAAGTTTAGAGCAAATCGACCAACCAACCCCGCGCAAAAGGAAAGAAAGAGATGAGCTTTAGCCTCGTTTCTTGCAAAATCAAACTGCCATCGTCGTTTCATTTCTATTCATCAGCTACAATAACCAAGGACCCAATCCCTTTTTTCTCGTCTTATTTGTTTCTTGCATCCTCAATGATCAGTTTCGTTCTTATTTGTCAGATCCAAGATTTGAGCTTTTTCATGTTTCTACCCTACTTTTTTTTAAGCTGCTCTTGTCGCTTGTTCAATTGCAAAATAAACACCAAAATCATATGGCATTGATCTCTTGGCCTGTGTCATCATTTGTAGATCATTCATCAGTCCGCAAGTATAACATATGTGATGTCAGTGATAGTGCGGGATGATGCTCTCTCCCGACTATAGAAAGTGAGGTTGAAAATATCTTTTGGAACTTAATTTCAACTTACTTTATCGCCAAGTCTCATGTTTGAAACACTTTCCAAAAGTATGAAAAGGTAAACCCTGGACCATTAACCCAAATATAGTATAAGTTTTTGAAAACTGATATTGATGATCAATGAGACAATGATATGATTTTTGTAAATTTTAGTTTCCATTTTAGGAATTTAACATGGGTTTCTGAAAACTAATAATTATTGATACGGCTTTTTGTAAAATTTCGTTTCAATATTTTATGGAACAAAAGTGATTTGACCAACCGTTTTATCATTTAGTTACCATCATTGCTATATCAAGAAACAAATCCTTGAACATGAGTTTTAAAAGGGAAAGGAGCTGAATTTGGTATGGGGTGAACCCTAAATTCAGAAAAATACAATACTGTTGATTGACATTGTTATGATTTTATCAATAGTTTCGGACAAGATGAAGCAGAGGATTCAAATTTGAAATGTTAGAAGCATTTCGGTATAATCAAGAAAGGTTCTGCTCTGAGATAATCTTTCATTTGGAAAAAATATCACTCTGTAATGAGTGTTTGTCTCTGATATTTACACGTTTTCATCTCTGCTATTGTAAATATTACGAGTGGAAAAATCTGTACTGTAATTTTGGCTGCCAAAAGCCATTCTTCTAAACAATCTGATTTCTGCAGACTGCTCAGCTGAGTTGATGATCTCGCTTTCGCCTACTCTCATCCCGTTTGTGAGGTCTTCCTCAGCTAGACTGTCGAAAGCTCTTACGATCTGTCAAAAGTTTTCAATCAAGACTGTTATGTGATGAAACTCGATTCTTGAAAGAAGAAACAAAGTCTTGAAGAAAATGTATGTACCTGACTCATTCGAGGTCTCTTTGCAGTTGAGTGGCGTATACAAGCTGCAGCCGCTTCAATCATTCTAAACATTTCAGCGCCAATATTATATCTACACAATTGAGAGAAAAAAAAAACTTCAATATTTTAGCTAGTAAAATGATATAGATTCATATAGTGGTGTTAGGATGTCTGTTTATGAAAAAATTGTTTAGTTTTTAACAAATTTTTTATTATATTGTTTACATTGATGCAAGATTTATGGAATTAAATGCGTTTCTATTTATATGACAATTCAAAGAAATCAAATATTTAAAATAAGTTTTATTTCCAAATTTGTATATAGATTTACTGTTTAGTTTTATTTAAGAAAATATTTATTAATATCATCCAAAATAATAAAAATATCTTCTAAATATTTAGAGTAAGATTTGCAGTATATTTATAAATTTAGTCAATCAAAGCCCGGTAATTATTTTCTGATAAATATAGAAGATTCTACCGTATATATGGTAAATTGCATTGATATAGTTAAATAAAGATTATAAGGTAGTTAGGAAAACTATGTTAAATGTCAAAGATTTAGAGGTTATAGCCGATTTTAGTAATATTATTTTAAATTTCGTATAAAAATATTAGAATTTTGGTAAAATTTTAAAATTAGATTCTTAACATGGTTTAAATATTTTCAAATTAATATATATTGTGATCTACACAATTTGCTTAATAATCACCACGTTTTGAGTAATTATTTTATTATGTAAATAAATAATAAGAAATTTAAATTGTTATTCACAATTTTATGATTCTCATATTATAATTTACGCAAATATTATTATTGTAGTATCTAATTTTTTTTTAAAATAAATTCAAGACTATAAATTTAATTTATCAAATATTGTTTTGGTTGGTTTAACGAGTTGGGTTAATGAGAAAAAAAATATTTTTAAAATATATATTACAATATTATATTAATTAGTTTGAGTGAGCATTTAGTATGTAAATTAGTTGGATTACTCATTAATTATTTTAGAAATATATTTGATTGTAACTTATATCAGATTTTTTATATGAACTGCGAAAATAAGTTTTTAAAATATTTAATGAGTTGTGTTAATGAGAAAAAAAATATTTTTAAAATATACCTTCCAATATTATATTGATTAGTTTGTGTGAGTATTTAGTATGCAAAATAGTTGAAATAATCATTTATTATTTTAGAAATATATTATAGTTAGATAGATAATCTATATATATAAAGTAGAAGTTGCTTTCTTCTTAGGCTGCCACCTCATCCACTCATATCTTCAAATTGTGACACATCATCAAGTACTTTTATTAAATTTTTGATTTATTATGTTTTATGTTCTTCAATCTTTCAACTCTTATAACAATAACTAACATTTATTAGTGTAATAAAATTTAAATAGAATATAAAAAGTTATTTGATCATAAAAACTTAGTCATATATTGATCTATAGAAATTTTAATTTAATAATTATAGTATGTCATATTTATAGTTAGAAAAAAAAATATTGATTTTTTTTGTCAACAAAGATTATTTATAAATATGCTATAAATTTATATATGTTCTAAGAAAGAAACAAAATTATACATTTTCATGGTTATAATTTAATGCCGAAGTGTTGAGAAAAAAAAATTTAATGTCTAAGTGAATGAGATTCTAGAAAGCATGTTCAACATAATTTTCGAATAAAAAATGGATAAAGTTTTGAGTACAACATTTACACTAAAGAACAGAGAGAGAGAGAGAGAGAGAGAGAGAGAGAGAGAGAGAGAGAGAGAGAGAGAGAGAGAGAGAGAGAGAGAGAGAGAGAGAGAGAGAGAGAGAGAGAGAGAGAGAGAGAGAGAGAGAGAGAACAAAAATTAAATTATGTAAAAAACAATTATTTTAATAATTGTAATTATGTCATACTTACAGTTAGAGAAAAAGAAGTATTTTTTTTGTCAACAAATATTGATTAAAAGTCTATAAACATATATAGGTTATTAAAAAAGAAACAAAAACATATATTTTCATGGTTATAATTCAGTATCTAAGTGAATGAGATTATAAATTTTAGACAGCATATTCAACACAATTTTCAAATAGAAAATAGACAAAGATTTATAAAAAATCTAAA